GAGGAATTAGCAGTAGAAAGAGGGAAGTGCTCATGCCATTGTACAGAACACTGGTGAGACCTCACTTGGAGTATTATACATAGTACTGGAGACCCTTTCTTCAGAAGGATTTTGATACTTTTGAGAGAGTTCAGAGAAGGTCTACAAAACTAGTTAAAGGACCACTATAGTGCCAGGAAAACATACTAATTTTCCTGGCACAATAGTGCCCTGAGGGTGCCCTCCTATAGTGCTCTCCTCCTCCTCTCCTCCCTCTTCTCTTCCTCTTCGGCTGAATGCGCATGCGCGGCAGGAGCTGTGCGCGCATTCAGCCAGTCCATAGGAAAGCATTCAAAATGCTTTCCTATGGACTCTGGCGTCTTCTCACTGTGATTTTGGAGGAAAGACGAGACGGGGGGTATGATAAAACAATGTAAATACATAAAGGGAATAAACAATGTAAAAGAGGAGACTATATTTAAAAGAACAACTACCACAACAAGAGGACATAGTCTTAAATTAGAGGGGCAGAGGTTTAAAAATATCAGGAAGTATTACTTTACTGACAGGATAGTGGATGCATGGAATAGCTTTCCAGCTTAAGTGGTAGAGGTTCACACAGTGAAGGAGTTTAAGCATGCATGGGATAGGCATAAGGCTATCCTAGACTAAAGATAAGGGCAGGGACTAATGAAAGAATTTGGAAAATTGCGCAGACTAGATGGGCAGAATGGTTCTTATCTGCCGTCATCTATGTTTCTTTTTTTTTTTTTTTTTTTTGGCAATCTTTATCATTTTTTTATGTTTTCTTGTTTCCAAGATCAGGTGGGGGTACAGAAAAGAGTAAAGGGTGGGGGTCAAATTGGTATTCAGGACATGCATTAGCTATGATTGACATATACATGCACATGCGAAGATATACAGTAGCATTTTGACTTCATACGGTTGTCTGAGGTTGGATGGCCAGAGTAGCATTTATTGCTTGTTACAGTGTTTCGTAGTAGCGTAGGTCTTTTGCATCTTATCATTGTACACCTCACCCATGGTGTTTTTTGGTTTTTTTTGTGATTCTGTTGCATTTTGACCGTGAGGGTGTACATGTCAGGTGTGAGACCTCAGGTGGGTTGAGTGGGGACCGGCCACGTTTGTGTACCCTCGTATCGGGGACAGGCGTGTTGTCCGGGCCGTCAGTCCTGATCCATTCATGGATGGTCGGTTGCTATATGTGTAGTGTTCCCTCTACCTTAGGTGATAGTGCTTAGGTCAATAGAAAAAACAGAAAAAAATCAGCGCTAAATGGCCACAATAAGAAAGGACTGCACTCCTCAAAAGGGAATCCCTTATAATTCCCTAATAATTTGGAAGAACACAAGACAAACAGTACAGTAAGGATGCGCCTAAAATATATACTAAATGTATAAAATACAATAATAAAACAATATTTTAATGAATGTAAAATATGGTATAAAAAGAGTGATTAACAATAGTCCAAAACTTATCAAAGTTCGTGATGGAGAATCCCACGTGTGACAAAGGAAGATTCTTAAGATGTGGAGTGAGGTCAGATCTTCATAGTTGTATGCTTAGAATTCAATGAAGCATATGTGGAGAGAAGAAAAGACAGGACTCCAATGGTACAGTATGTAGATACGTTGAGAATAAAATAATAAGAATAGGTCTTACTCACACTTTTCAGAGCTGAGGATCCAGCTCTGATATTATGTGCGTGAAGTGGAATAATCCCCACTCAAGGATATGTGGAGTAGACTTCAATTGACGATTCTCTGGTACACGTTCGACGTCCAAATTACAGACCCAGAAGGAGAGAATAAAATATATAGTGCTCTCTGTATTATGATAAAAGGTTAAAAAAGTATAAAATATATATATTACTCACATTCTTTTGAGCAGGTATATACTGCTCACTATAAGCGCTTAGGTGGTATAATCCCCACCTATGGATTCTTTATGCTTCTTCTAAAAATAGGCAATATAGGTAGTCAGGTGAAAGAAAAGAAAAAATGGCAATAAAGTGTTTTATGCCAAAAAATTCTTATTATAACGTAATAAAATAATATCTAGACGCGTTTCGCCTCAAGGGCTTCTTCAAGTAGATAAAGGTAAAAAAAGGGAGGGCACACCTGACATACAGAAGTTTATATAAGGTTCAATATAGTGCTTAGGTCACCATGTCACCCTTTGGGTGTGCCCATTATGTCGGGGTGTTGCCCATGTATAGGTTGGTCGGGCTGAGGCGCCCATGTGCTTGGGCCTATCGTAGCGTCTGCTATGTGTGTGATCAAGTGCTGTGGGGTATCTAAGGCGTCTCGGGAGTTAGCGGCACCGCTTCCCGTCTGTGTGGAGCTCCATCCGCTGACCGCTCCTTTGTCTGTGCACAATTATTTGCTTAATGCGTGTTCTGGTCTAGTTCAGAGTGTGGGGCGGTCATGTCGGGCCTGAGTCTGGGGTGGGGGTGGAGGGGAGGAGGGAAAGAAGAGAAGGAAGGGGGGGTATAGCTGAGAAAAAGGTGGAAGAGGCGGTGTAAAGATGGGGGGGTGGATGAGGGCCATGGCTTGAGTATAGATTTCAGGGGGTTATTCTGTCTGCGGCAATGTACATAAGCCAGGGGGTCCATGTCAGGTTGCATTTCTCTGTGCGGCCTTGGAGGGATGCAGCCATAATTTCCATGGTGTGGATTTCTCCTACCCTATCCACCCATTGTTAGAAGGTGGGGGCAGCAGTCTTTTTCCATAGAATGGGTATTAGGGACTTTGCCGCTGTCAGCAGGTGTTTCGTCAAGGATTTCTTATATGTTTTTAAAGACATGCTCGTGTGGTGTAGCAACATGGGGAGGGGTTGGAGCGGGACCTCCGGATCTGATATTTCATGGATTTTGGTGTTAACCATCTCCCAGAAGGGAGTAATGGCCGTGTATGACCACCAGATATAAAGCATAGTGCCTCTCTCCTCCCCGCATCGCCAACATGTCTCTTCGATGTCCGAGTTCATGCGGTGGTAAGATAGTCCGTTAATTTGCGTCTGTGTCGTGCCGGGTCGAGCGCGTTGGTTGTATCTGCCAGGTTGTAGAGGCCGGTGTAGTAGTCCCTGAACGCCTGTAGGATTTTCGCTAGAAGTCACGTTTCTTTCCGGCCTAGGGTATTAATTTTGTGTTTGTGGTTTTGCCTCCATCTCTGTTGCCGGGTCCGGGCCAGCAGTCTACCACATTTGTTGGAGTACTCGTAGAAATAGCGGTTAGACCTCCAGATCACATTGAGCAGCTTCTGGGAAAGTATGTCTCTGAGTTGTCTCCTCGCGTCCGTCAATTGTAGATATATGTCTTCCCTCAGTTCCTGTTTGTGCGTGGTTTCCAGGTCCGATATCTACTTGGTCAGTTCCAGGACTTGTCTGGTGTTCTCTTGTTTGCGTTGCGTACATTGGCTGATATGGTGCCCTCTTACTATGCACTCATGTGCCTCCCGTGTAATTAGCGGGGACACCTTGGGGGAGGCGTTGGATTCAAAGTATTGGGTGAGCACTTGAGAGGTCAGTGCCGTGCATTCTGCGTCAGATAGTACGGCCTCATTTAGCCTCCATTGCCGTTCCGTTCGGACGGCCTCCTCCTTGCTCATGTCCGCAGACATAGGGATCCACGGAGACTCCGACCATGACCCCGTATCCATCCAACTCAAATCACCCCTCTTTAAGCCGAAGGAACGGCAATGGCGGCTAAACGAGGCCGTACTATCTGACACGGAATGCACGGCCTCGTTTAGTCTCCATTGCCGTTCCTTCGGCTTAAAGAGGGGTGATTTGAGTTGGATGGATACGGGGGCATGGTCGGAGTCTCCGTGGATCTCTATGTCTGCGGACATGAGCAAGGAGAGGTTTTCCTGCGCCACAAAGACGTAGTCTATCCTGCTGTATTGGTTGTGTGGGGCGGAATAGCAGGTGTAATCCCTGCCGTCGGGATGAGCTGCCCTCCAATCGAACCAAGCTTGAGAACCCTTGGATATAGAAGAGTAGGGGCAAATTTTAGTCCAGTTTGCCGGTGGCATCAGTGGTCCATGTCTGTGGGCTGTTTGTGTACACTGGGCGGTAGTAGATAAGTGCCATGCCCGGGTCCCCCCACCCAAACAAACCTCGCCCTCCCGTTGTAGCTTCCTGCCCATCTGGATGTGATGGGCTGGTGTTGTGAGCCATGGGCTTAGGGCCTGTAGTGGCAGAGTCTCAGTAAAGGTTAGGGCCCGTTATAAGGGGGCCTGGGTTGTAGGAATGCTACCTCGAGCAGCTGCCATGTTGGGGTCCCCAGGGGGAGTGTGGGCTAGGGGTGCAGGTGTGTTAGCAATGTGCTGTACATACCCCCAATGGCAGCTCCACTGCTGGGTCCGGAGCATCGGTGTCAGGAAGGGTGGGGAGTCCGAGTCCGGAGGGCTGACCTTCAGCATGTCGGGGACCCCAATGTCCTCGGGGTGAGCTGATCTGGGTGCCGCGGGGTATTATTCTTCTGGAGCGTCTGGTCCCCCTCTCCTCGGGGGCCTACCTCCTCTGTTACCCGGAGGGAGCGGTCTGGCAGGGTCTGTGGGTTGTTGCGACGGACCCATCAAGATCCAGTTGGATATTGCCACCGCCGGCAGGTCCAGGGTTCGCAGGAACCCAGGCACATCATTCGGCCATCGTAGCGTGCGCCAGGTGTTGTCTTTACGTGCCTGCAGGCTGGACGGGTAGCCCCACTAGTATGGTATCCGTCTGTCTTGAAGCAAGCGGGTGAGCAGTCTCAGTGCACGACGAGCTTCCAGCGTCTGGGTTGAGAGGTCGTGAAATAGAGACACCTGTGCATCCACGAAAGTAATGGTTTGCAGCCTGGCTGCTCGCATGATGGCCTCCTTCAGGTGGAAGGATAGCAGGCAGCATACAATGTCCCTGGGAAGACCATCATTCCTCGGGGGTCGGAGGGCTCTATGGGCCCTTTCAATGTTGTGTGTGTCAGGTGAAAGGGTGTCCCCCAGTATCTGTGTGAAGAGTCAGGTCAGTATGGCCACGAGGTCTTCCCCTACCTGTTCAGTCAGGCCCCTGACGCGGATGTTATTACGGCACCCGCAATTATCCAGGTCTTCAACCTGTCTTCTCAGGTCCAGGATGACCGTGCCTTGCCATGAAGTGGCGTTATCCGCTGCTTGGGAGTGTTGGGAGGCCTGTATGCAGTCTGCCTCCAGGTCTGTAACTCGTTGCTCCAGGGTGGTATTATCCCTCCACACCTCCTGGATCTCCTCCCTGATGGTTGAGCGCATTTCTTTCACCATGGGTGTCTTGTCGGCCTTAGTCAGCATGTTGGAAGCTATTGTTGCCAGCTCCACCAAAATCTGTGATAGGGAGTCTGTGTGCACCGATCCCGCCGTGGATTCAGCTGTTCTACTGGCGCCCGGTGAGTCCAGCGCCATCTTGTCCGCCAGCCGCATGGTTTTGAAGCAGTTGGGGGTGGACAGATATCCGTCCATGGGACCTGCCTGTCACCTAGGGGAGGCTGTCCCCGAGGGTCCAGGGGTCATCTGGCGCCTGGTTTTGCACATTATTGGCTGCAGGAGGGCTATTAACAAGGGGCTTTGTGAGCCGGGGTTGCAGAGCCTCGAGTGTGTGCAGCTTACTCCATGTCCGGTCGGCCACGCCCCTCCCATTCTATGTTTCTATATGTTTCACTTAGGTGTCTGAAAACGTCAGTCTTTCTCTCCCATCTCTTGTTCCCACCATAGCTTCTCTCCATATTTCCTTAAAATGTATTTGCCTCTCTGATTTTTTACTTACCATCTCTCCATTTCTCACCCACCTTTATTTCCCATAGTTACCCTCTTAACTCCTTGTAAGCTCACTGACAGGTTCCTCTACCTATTATATCGGCCTTTTTTTATTTTGTTTGTCTTTTTACCAATTGTACAGTGCTACGGAATAGGTTGGCGCTTTATAAATGCCAGTAATAATAATAATAATTATAATAATAAGAACTTGTGGCCCTTTCCCCACGGTTTCCCTTGCTATTTTCTTCTGTTTTGCATGTTTATTTTTTCTCAATCTTACTTTTCAACCTAGGCATCATTCTAGATGTTCCAGAGAGAGGAGTAGGCTTTCAATGCTTCCACTGGAACAGACCTTTATCATTGTTCCATGACCTTATAAATGAGAGAGGGTCAGATTATAACATTATATACTAGTGTTTGCATTCATCTGCAGAATGCAGGAATATCAAAGTCCATCGAGGCAAAGGCAAACTAATCCACAATATCATGCTGTAGGGTGAGTTTAACTGGTCTTACTGTCCTCCCCAAAGGCCTTATTAGTGCAGTTATGATATTAAATTCCAAAGTAAAAACAGTACTATTGGTAATTGTAGTTAGCTTAATGCTCAGGGTCAAAATTAGTTGGTTCAGAAAACTTTATCCCTACATTTTTGTGTTCTGGTGAATAAGCCTCCATTCTCTTTTTATTGCTGATTCAAAAAGCTTATTTTTTAACACCATTATGACTTGCAGAGTATAAGACAAAGTCTTTTTTACCATTAAGCAACGTTTATATTTTACAAATGGCCTGAAGCCTACTAGGTTTACGTCAAGGCACCAAGCTCACATCCTCTTGGTTATCTAATTTATCCTCATACTAACAAGATCTACTCCTTTTAAGAATTGAAAGACAAATGCATTGTACAATACAGTCCTATTTACAAGTAACACATTACATAACATAGCAACTCCAATGTAACATCAATTCAATTGTTGGAAATCTAAACAAATAACCCCCTTCCCTGAACCTGTAGAAATCACATGTTCCCCAGGCTTAACTCATTAAAGGGGCATTTGCCTGCTTCTTGACCTAATATTTATGGTAGTCATTATTTTAAAAACTTTCTATATTTAAATATTATGCAATATAATGGACATGATTACTTTTATAACATCGCTAACATGTGGAGTATAATCACCTTGTTAGTCTTTAGTCAGAAATGTTCTGCCATTAAGATGCTTGTGTCATTAGCATGCACAAGAATCTTTTATCTGGGGTTTGGCTGGGCACCACTGCCCTTTAACAGGGCACTGGACAAGGCCTCTGTCACATCTGTGGTTTTCCAATTACCAACATGCTTGGAGGAAGTGATTGGCCACCAGCTCATTGGCCTAGGTCTACACTTCCAAGTGTTCGAAGGTAAGATATCAGGTGAAGGTGAGACCCACAGGCTGGAGACCTTCTTCTACAGGGGACATGATCGTGCCTAAATGTCTGCTACTTCTTATGTGAACTGTCACTGTTACTCATCTACTAAAGATTGTTTGACCTTTTATGGAAGAAAATATTTAGACCCCAAATGGTTACACTGTCATTGTTTAGTATAAGTGATGGGAACAAAGTGTGCTACCTTTGCTTTCCATGATCAAACTGACATGATGAAATGAAAATAATCCTTGTGCAATGATGGGAAGATATTTTAAGTTTTTTAGTCCTCTCACATTATAAACTGCCTCCCAGTAAGGTTTCATTTATGTTTACGTAATTTTTGTTGATTTATTCTATACTTTACCACTTACCGCTGCACTACTAAAAAGAGCTTAGTGATTGCTAACTAGAAAAGTTGCTCATATGTATTGCAGGATCTAGAAATTTATTTTTTTCTAATAATTATATATATTTATATAATATACATAATATATAATATAAGATATGTTTTAAATATATTTTTAAACTAGTTTTATTTGGCAATAAGGATACAGCAACTCAACTCCTAGTAATTTCACATTCGGTGGCTTTTTTTCCCCTCGGATGATGGCATTAGTAATTTATTATTAGTAGGTTTCATTTCCTATTAAAATTGTTCATTTATTGCTTTACTATTGCTACTAAAATTTGAAAAACATGCCAATCCTCGGTTCAGTAGAATTGTGTTGTTCAATTTGAGGAAGTGTTTAATATGGTTTCTATTGAATTGTCCATAGTTATGAGAGGCCTGAGAGAGTAACTGGCTGTGTTGGCTAAAATTCCTTCAGTGAACATTCCAACATAATGATTAAAAGTTACTTTCTCAGGACTATTCTGCAGCCAACTCAGCTCATAATGAATAACACCCCCACTACACACACAAGTCTTTTAACAGGTGATCCTGGGCCAAAACGCAAACACAATAATTCATTAAACTCTGACAATCTATGGTCCATATTATTAAAATAAATACATCTCTGAGCATCTGGGGGCATTTGTACTGCAAAATCCAGACATTGCTCACAAGATGCTTGCAAAACTATCACACCTCCCCTCCCCCCCCCCCAGTTACCTTGAATGTAGTCTGGGTTCATCATTTCTAGAACTAATAAAATCCAGAACGGAATTAATGGAAATATGCCCAAATTCAACAGAACTTGCCATTATCTGCCTACACCAGGGACTCCATCAGGGCATGACAACCATAATGGTTGTCATGGGCCCGGCGGTCCTGGGGGGCACGAACTACTCTGGCAGTCCGAGCCCCACATTCCTTATGTGCACATATATATATATCTATAGCGAGTTCCAGTATATATATGTGCACAGAGGGCCTCCTGCTATCTGTACATTGAAGAGGGAGCCCAGCAGCACACTCTATCCTCCTTTCCAGCTGCTCTCTGTCTAACTTACCTGCGCCCTGCGGCCGCCAGAGCATTGCCACAGGTTACCATGGCACCGCTTGCCACAGCACGCAGGCCTGTCTTGCAAGAGTTAGTCAGAGAGGAGCTGGAAACGAATACAGTGTGTGCGGCTGGGCCCCCTCTTCAATGTACAGGTAGCAAAAGGCCCTCTGCACATATATATAGTGCAAATCGCTATATATATATATATATATATATATATATATATATATATAAAATGTACACATAAGGAATGTGGGGCTTGGACTGCCAGAGTAGTTCGTGCCCCCCAGGACCGCCGGGCCCATGACAACCATTATGGTTGTCATGCCCTGATGGCGTCCCTGATGTAGGCAGATAAAGGCAAGTTCTGTTGAATTTGGGCATATTTCAATAATTCCGTTCTGGATTTTATTAGTTCTAGAAATGATGAACCCAGACTACATTCAAGGTAACTGGGGGGGGAGGTGTGATAGTTTTGCAAGCATCTTGTGAGCAATGTCTGGCTCCATCCACCATGCCACCGGACCACCAGGGAATGCGATCTCCCTCCTCCCTGGCACGGTAAGAACCAGGGAAGGGGGAATAAAATTGAAAAATACACAAATTTAAAAAATACTCCCCTCCCCCCTATTTTACACACACACTGCATCCTTACAAGCACACACTCTGCACTACACACACACACTACATTCACTAAACACACTCTGCACTACACACACACATTACATTAACTAAACACACTCTGCACTACACACACACACTACATTCACTAAACACACTTTGCTCTACACACACTACATTCACTATACACACTTTGCACTACACACACTACATTCACTAAACACACTCTGCACTACACATACTCACACTACATTCACTATACACTCTCTGCACTCACTACAAACACATTCACTACATTCACTATACACACGTTGCACACACTACATTTACTAAACACACTGCACTACATTCACTAAACACACCTTGCACTACACACACACTATATTCACTATACACACGTTACACTCACTACAAACACACTACATTAGTAAACACACTTTGCACTCACTACATTCACTACACACTACATGCTCTATACACACTACATCCACTACAAAAACACACACTCTGCATTCACTATACACACCTACGTTCACTACACATACACTCTGCATCTAATGCATGCATACAAACATTACATTCATTACACAAAACGTACAATATGCATCCACTATACACAGTGCATCCATGACACACATTCTACATCCACTATACACACACACACTTCATCCTTGTGGGCGGACTTGGGGCTGGCCCCGGGGGCCCAGATCTTGAGCTGTGTCAGGGGCCCTAAAATTTCTGATGGCAGCCCTGGCCTACACAATTTGGTTGGGCCAAATTCTCAGGCAGATAGTGACCAATTGTAATACAAGCTAATACACTGAAAAATCTGCAATTAGCATCATTTAGATAACTAACTCCTAGGGAGAAAGAGTTCCCTAAACAGGGAGCAGGGCAATTTGAAAACTTACTGAAAGTTTTAGAATTAAATATCACAGTTGTAAAAACTTGAATTGGAGATTTTTTTTCTGTAATTTGGCTATTCTGTCCTAAATTTTGTCAGAAACCACAATTCACTGCACACCCTTGGAATATCCTTTCTAAAAGCAGCAGTGTGCTTAATATCTCCAACACTCCTACTCGAGGATTAACACCTCTCTTTATTAGTTCATTTGTTGCCAGAATGATACTGTAAATAGTACAAAGCAGGAGCTTTTTTTCAACTGTATATTGCTAGAAGCTTAATACGTTAC